CAAGCACAGGAAAAGCTGGAGCTGCACCGTTGCTATCCATTTGTGCATTGGGATCAGTAACTGAAAGCGATCAAAGCTCCTTGCAAAGGAAAGCCTGGGGAAGGGGTGATTGCTGCTTTGGTTCCCAAAGCTTGTGGGTACCTGCTGCTGCTCTGCTGCGGAAGAAACCCTCTCTGCTCATTTTTCATTTTGTGGCACAGTGATGAAGAGTTGGGAATCCTTGTAATGTTTCATCTTCAGTTTTACAGGACTCAAATGCTCTACTGATGCTGCTACTTGGCTACTGGCGCTTGCCTTTCTTTTCCATGAGGATTAATTTATTCTGAGGTTCTGTCCATCAGTGGGTGCACCGCTTGTGCTGCCTTTGGCACATCTGCAAATCCAGGTCTGGGATGGTTTGTGTCTGGAGCTGCCACTGGTGCCAGCGAGTTAACTCTCTCCCAGGAGTTAGAGACTGGCTGTGTGACACGGGTGGTGCCTGAACCAGCCAGGCTGCTTGGTAGTCAGACCTGCTGTGATAAATCCTGCCCTGTGTTAGTGGAAGTAATTTTTCTCTATCATCGTGGCAGCTTCTTTCACTGATTTGGTATATATTTGCTGTTATTGTATTATTTGATCATATTTCTAGACAGCTTTATACCAGTCACAGCAGCTACTTGATGTGTAATTAAATCTAATGGCAGTAAAAATTCTGAATGCTTGAGTGTTTTGCTCTTTGAAACTAAATTTATGAGATTTGCACTTCCTCTTGTGGCACAAACATGAGCTCTGCTGGCAGACAGATGGATTTCCAGATGATAAACATTCAGACTGGATTTAGCAGCAAGCCTTCAGCTCACGTATAAAATGCTAACTTTTTTTTTGCCTGCTGGATTCCCTGCTCTCTGACTGTGGTGCTGGGGTGTCTGTTCCTGGGAACAAACAGTGCACCTCCTGCATTTACCCAGCTGCTGCAGGTCAGTCCCAAAGCTGCACGGAGAGACTTGCAGGAGGTTGGCTGGTGAGGCTCTCGCACACAGTGTGTCGATGTGCTTGTCCTGCAGCATTTTGTGTCAGTGGCTGCTTGAAGTACGAGCTGAAGGAGGCGAAGTAGCTTTGGTGATAGTGTGTGACAGCCTGATGGACTGCAGAACATGAGAGGTGATAAAGTGAGGGAAATATCTCAATTGTGAATGAGAAGTGGCTGGAGTGGCTGAACCATTCTTGATCTTGGTGCCTCTCTGCACAGCTGCCGTGTTTGCTTCTTGCATTGCTGCTGAGCATGCACCTGGTGACTAATTACAGCCCCAAGGTCTCTTTGCTAACGAGTAATGAGTTAGTGGAGAGTCCACTGCTGGACGTGTACAACTAAGATTACATTTCCTCCTATGCATTTCTTTGTTAATATCAGCAATGGATTTATCTGCTGCTCACCACCCACTCAACCATGTATGATTTTTTTCTGCAACATTTGCAGTTGGCTCTCAGCTTTACTATACACTGGAAAATCTAAAATCAGCAACAAATTGCATGCTTTTATTTTACCTCCCCTTCTGCAGCCTGCCTTCAAATATACCTCTCTATTCTTGCAGAATGATGTGTTCTGTGCTGTTACACTGTTTCCTCAATTATCTTGATTCCACCACATTTCTGATATGCCCAAATCAACACCCTTAGCTGCAAACCAGGTGTAGCAGAGCAGAAGGGGGACTTACAGCTCAGGTGTTGAATTTAGAGATGCAAAAGCAATCGGAATGGTTTAGAGGTGAGACTTTCTCCAGGATGTGACAGCTCATGCAGGAAGGAGATGGCACAGCTCCAAATGCCACCCATCACAACCTGGCCACCTGCTGAACCCATGAGGTAGAGCTGGAAAGCATATTTTAACCCAGGCAGACCTTGCACATTTTGTAGTGTAAATGACCCAAAATACAGGTGACCATTTATTGCCCAGGTGCTTGGGTGCAGGAGCAGCTGTGGAGGAGGGATTGGGCCCTGCTCTGCACATAGGAATTGGGCAGAGGGTGGGTTCTGCGGTGCTCCCTGCCACAGGCACCCACTGTGTCCCAGCAGGGTTTGGACAGATGGATGCACAGCACCATGAGCTGTCCTCTGAGCAGTGCTACTGGAGACCTGGGATGCTTTGTAAAAATCCTGTGGTTTGAGCAAAACAGAGAGAAGGCATCCTAAAAATCAAATGTAAGCGAACAGAGGAGTAAAACTTCATTCTGAAGTGAGAAATTGTGCTGTTTTGCCTCCTAAAGGCTAAAATGAGACAATTCAGTATTTGAGGGGAAGAAAAAAAAAAAAAGATTCTTCAATTTCTGGGCAAATTTGCAAATAGTTTAAATAAACAGAAACGTCATCCTTTTGTGGCAAAGGCACTGTCCAGCTGAAAACCTTGCCTGGCCCCAGCTGTGCTTTGTGCCTGTTTCAGCCACCAGAGTGGGTACTGACCCTTCCCAGCCTGCAGAAGCACAGAAAGAGCTGGCCTCTGTGTCCTGGTCCTTTTGAACAGCCTGCACTGCTCTGCTTGCAACTAGACTTTTGTTGAATATTAAGATGTTGCTAAATGCTCACTGGCTTAAACTAGCAAAAAATAAAATTTAAAAATGTATTTATTTATGCATTATATATATATATATTTTATTTATTTATTTACTTTGCATTTTGACTTCTAGTGTCTGGAGTCAAGCTGGTGCCATCCAGCCTGTGGAGCACTGAATGCCCTGGGGATGGTGGGATTTAAGACATCAGGTTGTTGAAATCACTCCTGTTCTCACTCAGTGGAGACGAACCAAGGAGTAAATATTAGGATGCAGGTGTAGGGGCATGGTCTGGGGTCAGCAGGCACACAGCCATGCGTGCACTCATACAATTTCATATTCCTGTGATCTGTTTATACAAACCCAGTGGCAAAAATTAGCTTTCAGATCTGTGACTGATAATAGTTTTCTGCAAGGAGGAATAATTGCTTTATGGCTGTAATTAACAAGGAATTCATCTGCGTCTCGGAGGAGGCAGTTCCTCCTTTGGATTTCACAGGCTCACCCATTTACATGCAGAGGCTGTTTGGTTTCAGGAACAGGACAGCTGTCTGATGTTTGGTGTCTGCGTGGCTGATACCCCATAAGTTAGCTGGGGACACAGAGCTGAGGCAGAAGCTGCTTGTGAATAGCTCAGAGCCTTGCTTTTACCTGCAGACTTGGAATAATATTCCTTATTGTTGCCTGTACTGGATGTTTTTGGGAAAAAAAAAAAATGTGTTTTTTGCATCAGAATTGGTAATGTAAGCATGGGAAGTGCAAGGCATGTTTCTTCCTGGGATTCCACGATGTATGGGGGGAAACAAGTACCGGGCTGATAGTCAATGGAAAAGGACTGATGGGGTGTATGGGACCAAAAGGCTAAAAAGCCGTTAAAAACAGTAAGAAGGTTGCAAAAGGTAAGAAAAACAAAGGGAGGAATTAAAGATTAATAGCAGTTGTATGAAATGAGTAACAGATACCTGATAGTCTGTGAACCCGTAGCACTCAGCCAGTGAGGAACCAGGGGATAAGAGTGAGAGTTAGGAAACAGGGTGTAGAGGATGTGAAAGCTGAGATGCCTGCCATTGCAATCAAGAATAAAACGTTACTTCACTGGGGTCCTTGCCTGAGCCTGTTATTGGCTAGTGAGTGTTTCACAGATGTGAATGTTTGAAGGTGGGGAGAAAAAAAAAAAAAAGAGAGAAAATAAAAACATAAAAGCCAGCCTGGTGTGGGAATTGAAAGGCTTGAATGAAACATCTCATCTTTCAAGGAGGATCCAGTATTGACAGAAAGTCACCTGCAGTCATTCCCTGACTTGGGGGTGCCATTATTTCTCTTGCCTTTATTGTGCTGATTTGACAAACACACTGCCAGCCCCTGCGGAGAGCGCAGCTCCGGCTGCAATCGAGAGCCGGGGCTGGGTAACCTCTGGGGAGGCAGGGAGCCCCGGTCTCCTCCCTGGGCATGGCAGGACCTCCAGCATGGTCCCACTCCTGCTGTTTTTAGGGTGTTTGTTGGATGTTTTTGCAGTGGCAGGCTTGTTGCGAATGTTTTCTGTGAAACGCATTGGTTGTGGTGGGCTTGGGGAAATTAACAGAGCAGTCCTGCTGGGGACGGGGGGTTTTGGCTGACCAGCTCTGGTGACAGATCCCCTCCTGTGCCTTTTGGTCATTCTTTGGCACCGTCCTCATTGCTGTGCAAAGCCTGGATGAGCTGAGATCTTTCCAAACACCCTCCCTTTTTGACTCTGATCTTAGAAAATATAGACTCTGCTTTCCAAGAGCTCAACCCACAGTGGCTTTCCTTTGTAGTGAGGGGAGCTGCTGGTGCTGAGCTTGGCTTGAGCTATTCCTGAGCAAGAAGCAGTTAAAATTGCAATCTCAAAAAGAAAGGAGGCCAAATTTTACATTGTCTTATGATAAAGACCTAACTACATAAGTGACCATGTTAACTGCCCTGAAGAGGAATAGGTGGTTAAAAACTAAATTCAATTCCTGTATAAGCAAATTCAGCTTGCTGCACGCCGGAGGATTGCACTGCAGTTCTGAATTTGCTCCTGAGCATTAGTCTGTGACCAGCTCCACGGCTTGGTTAGAGTTGTGCTGGCACTGCATCCTTGTATCCTTGCTAACGAGGTAACAGGGCTAATGCAAGCAGAGGACTCCTGCACGGATGTTGGCAGCGCCCCAGAGAAGGGACTTTTAGACTCGCTGGAGAAGCGCCAAGCATCACGGAGGGGATATTTAGCCTAATGATGCTTTATCATCAGTGAAAGCCAGGACAGGCAAAGTGTTCTCAGTGCAGGCAGGACCACATTCGCATTTTGTAGCAGTAAAGCAAAATCATCTGTGAACAGAACAAGTGATCTTGGTAATTAGGGAACTTTTGCTTTTATAATTGAGTGTATTAGAGACTTCTGCTAGCACAGCTCACCGGAGCTCACATCTCCTCACCCCCTCTTCTCCCTCTGTCCTTTCTCCCTGGACTCAGGGATGGAGGTCTGGTCCGTCTGGCTGTGTTTGATGATGGGAGCCCTGAGAACAACAGAAGTGGAGGTTCCTGATCCTTGCTTGAAGGAGAGAAGAGGGCAGATACACTGGCAAAGGAAACTGGAGCTGGAAACTGGAAAGCTTTCCACTGGCAAAGGAAAGGTTTGTCAAGGACAGATGATACTCCCCCTGTTAGTGCTCATGTTTTTGGGGGTCAGTGCATGAGGGGATGCTGAGTGTCCCCTGAATGTGGCACTGTCATGGGAATTCTGTCTCGTTAGCAGGAGTCACAATATACTGCAGCAGCTGCTCAGCTACAGACATCCATGTGAGTTGAGCATTAAGCCCAGCGCATACGTGAGAGTGTACAATAAATGTGAAGGCAACCAAAACCAGGACAAACACCCCTGGACATCCCTCATCCAAGCTGTCCAATTCTACCCCAAATTCAAGCTGGATTGCATATCACAACCATCAGCTGCTTTGTCTTTATTTCACTGTTTTCAGTTCTCATACAAGTACTAATCTAGCATTACTGCTTTAAAAAGAACAAACTACAGCCATTCACGGGATAACATAATTTTAAACTCTGTGAGACAGCTGATACTATTAAAAAACATGGCCCTATAATAGGTTTTCATTATTGATAGCTACTTGAGGAGACACACACTATAAAATATAAAGATGAAAAGCGAAAGGCTATTTGCGAGCTTCAAATCAGCGGCGTTGGAGGAAATGAGAACAGACAAACGGCACAGCCTCTGGACTAAATGTGTGCACATTATGGAGCTGCTAAGGCTTTGCCTTTACAATATACACTTTAAATCAAAGCAACATTGAAGTCAATATTGATTGTTCTTCGAGATGTGTTTTACCTTCAGGCACTGCTGTTTCCCAAAGGAGCATGAGCAAGAACGTATGTCTCTGTGCAGTGCTGGCTGCTTGTGGACAGGGATCTCCCTGAAATCCTCTGAAACCGATTTCTCCTTTGGAAGTACCCACTGCTGCTGCTGAGGGTCCGCTGCCTGTTCTTCAGGTACTCCCGGTAGTTTTTGGTGAGCAGGGTGTAGAGGAAGGGGTTGATGCAGCTGTTGCTGTAGGTCAGGCAGGTTGTCAGGTAATTAATGTTCTTCATCACCTTGGGAGATAGAGGGAAGGATTCGTAATACTGGAAGAGGAGCTGCCATATCCAGAAAGGCAGGAAGCAAGCCCAGAACACCAGCACGATTGTGAAGATTAAATAGAGCACCTTTTGGTTTGGCAGCCGCTTGGTCTGCTTGAAGGATGCTGTTTGTGACACCCAGTAAATCTTAGCTAGTCGGATGTAGAGGTAGCCAATGATTACCCCTGGGCCCACAATGCTGGTGCCAAAGAGGATGGTAAGATAGACTTTGTAGGACAGCTTGCTCCAGGTGGGCAGGCAGATGCTTTTGTTGTCCCTTTGCACCAGCTGGATCATGATGAGCATCGGGAGAGTGAGCAGCAGCGATACCAGCCAGATGACAACAGCAATGGCCTTACGGTAGCTCTTGGACCTCTTCACTGTGTCAAGGGGCTTCAGCACAGCAAAGTAGCGCTCTGTGCTCATGACTGTAAGGGTGAAGATGCTGGCGTGCATGGTGAGGAAGTCCAGACTGAACAGGATGCGACAGCCAACATCCCCAAAGTACCATTTCTGGATGAAGTAGGTCCCAACGATGAAGGGGATGGTGAGAAGGTAGAGGAGGTCTGCCAGGGCGAGGTTGATGATGTAAATATACATGGAGGCAGATGACCGCAAGTAGTGGCACATCACCAGCAAGGTGTAGACATTGCCGGTCACCCCAATCACACACATCAGGGAGAGGATGGTCCCGATGGTGCAGATGGCAATCATGTCCTCCATAGAACCAGCGGCTGGCACGCCGGCCCCGGTGGCGTTGGTGGAGGCATTGGGTCTGATTCTGAACAGGCTGCTCTCGCTGGTGTCTGTCACCATGTAGGGGGTTGCAGAGAAGTGGCTCTCCAGCTCGTCGGTTAGGGACATCCTCCTGGCCTTTGAATGTCAGAGGCTTTGCTCATGCCACAGGTTTTTGGAGAGCTGTTCTTCCTGTTCTGAGAAACGCGACTGCTGGGAGCTGGTGAACCATTGCTCAGTGGGGTCTCATCCAAGGAAGATCTGCATCGTCCACTAGAGGAAAGACATCAGAAACCAACAGATTAGAATCTGGCAGAGCAACACAACCTATTGGTCAGAAGCTACCTGTCCCTGAGTACGTCTTTACTGCCTGCACATACCAAAGGTCTGCATTGAGGCCACTCATGCAAGGCTTATGCTGTCATTACGAGAGCACAGCTCTGAGGAGTGACATTTTTTAGTGTGCATGGAAAAGAGAGGAGAGATCGTGCAGATATTTGGAACCACTTGCTGCAATCTTTAAAGTTAGTTTGGGGTTGGGGAAGAAAAATATCCTTCCTAAATTCATAGTGCAAGTGCTGATAAGCTCTTTGCTAAGCTCTTAACGTGAAGGAGTCCAAGACCCAAAAGGGAAAACAAACTTCTTATTTACCATTTGCAGCTAAAGGGAATGTATCACAGGGAATAGATGACAAAGTCCAGCATTTCTGCAGTGCTTTCCCTGAACAGCTTTCCTTGAATGAGAAGCTCCTGCTATGTCGTGACCTGCAGTTTCCAGTTGTCGAGTGATGGAGAAAAAATGCATTTTCTGTACATAGCGCAAGCTGTAGGTTGCGCTGTGAGCTTCAGGTATGTGTAAACATGGTTCTTTTCATGTGCTCTGTCAAGTGTGAGCCCACAGATGTTTGTGTGCCCATGCAGAGAGATCTATTTCAGACAGTCCTGTCTGCGAATGTGTCTTATGCAGCGGGCTGTGAGATTGCTCTGCAGCGCTTTAGGCAGGTAGTCGCTCTTTGTACACGGGAGCTTTTGGTTAGCTCAAGCCCAGTGTTGTATAAATCATGACTGTTGCTTTGAATTTGTGCTGGCTTGGGGTGTAGGCAAAGGAATATCGAACCTGCTTCAGAAAAACACACGAAAAAGTACGTAAAACACCAGGATTTTAAGGCATAACGAGAAGCCTGTACCAACGTAAAGGTCACTGCACTCAGAAATGTTTGCAGTACATATTTTACGCAGCTCAGGTTGTCTATTCATTTAGAAAATGCTGTGAGAGCAGGTGCTGGACTGCCTTGTCCTTGCAGGGCTCCACAGGCAAAGACATCCCTCTGCCTGTTCTGTGGGGCAGGTTGGGTTGGTTTTACTGACTCCATTGCCATCTTCATCCTGCTTGCTCCTTGGCAGGACGGCAGCACCATGCCCTGCTCCAGCTGTCCTTGGGTCAGAGACCCTGCCAGTGACCACAGTAGCACTAGAGGACAGGCAATGTTCATCCTCTTCATGACTTGCCCTCATTTTATCTTCTTCCCATTACCAGGTGATGGAGATTTCATGCAGAAAGTCTGCAGAAAAGAGGGCAACCTAGCACAGACAGATTTCTCCTTCCTGAATGGTTGGGATAGGGGTGCAAAGAAGGCAGAAATGCTACACAAAGCCCATTTCCCTCCCATGTCCCTCAGGTACAGACATCCGAGGGGGAGAGGTGACGCATGGTCTGGCAGTGGTCAGTTCTTTGGGAGGTTGCTTCTCTTGACTGATCTCCATCAGCTTCACTCAGCTTTTCTGCACCCTGCAAACCCAAATCTGCCTTCTCCCTGCCGTGCTGTGCGATCCCTCCTGCTTGGCTTTGGGCATGTGCAGCCAGCCCATCCACGCACCGGCTGGCTCCCTCATCGTCTGCCTCATCTATGCTCCTGTACGAGCTGTGCTGGCAGCACTAGCGTCAATGCGTGGAGGAGACGCAGATGCTCAGGGGCTCTGCCTGCTCCTCTGCCACACGGTCACCAGCAGGCTTGGTTGGAAGGGAAGAGCTCTGCATGGGATGCTCCAGCTAAGCCAAGCTCCGGTGACACGCAGCTCTTGGGTACGGTTGGATTTGTGCTAGCTTGTTTTCAGGAGCAAGTTTCCATGACCCAGGTGCTGGCTCTTTGCAGCTGCCTTACTTTGTGCTCTGGGCACTTGTAGCAGGTTTGTGTCGTGCCTGTGCTCATAGGTGCAGGTCCCTGTGTGACAGCTCCTGCTAGAGAGAGCTCCCGCACCACGACTGCCTGCTCTGCTCCTTCACCAAACCTGCATTTTGCTTCATTCATAAAATCACTACAGCGCTAATTCAATTCAAACACTCCAGCTATCTGCAGGCAGAGCTCAGAGCTAGGCAGGTCCTCGTTCCTAGAGGATGAAAATTGTACAGATTGGGGAAACCTTGCATCGCTTTAAAGTTATTGGCATTGCTGCACTCAAACATGCATGCATACACACAAACACATGCAGACACACACAATAAAGAGCCTGCTCTTCCAAGCAGCCATTCAAAGTGTCTTACGGTCTAAGCAATTTTCTCAGCCATTCCTGCCTTTTCTTCTATGTTATCAGCACCGAGGGGCACCGTGCACATTCCAGTAGCAACGAACATAAAGGAATTCGTTCTGTTCAAACCTTGCTTTTATATCCAGCAGGTGAAGTTTCCTACAAGAAACAGAATAAAAATGCAGCTGGTACTTCTAAAGCTGAAACTTAAAAAAAAAAAATAAAAAAAAATAAAAAAGAGAATCCTCTTTCATGGGAAGACAACGCCAGCTCCCCGTGCTCCGTCGCATCTGGAAAGGCAGCAGCAGAAAGGAGCGTGCTACCTCTCTAAGTATGTTTGAAATCTGTGCGCTCTTAATACTCTCATTCTCCTCCCTTCACTCACGCCTGCTATTTCTGTTACTCGGTGACGTTAGGCATAGCGTGGCTTTGACTGCAGCCGGCAAAGAGCCTTTTTAAAGCAGCAGTATTTGGATAGCTGGGGCTGGCTGAACCCGCTCTCCCTGCCTGGCTGTGAGCCAGCTGGGGCTGCGAGGTGTTGGTGCTGTGTTCATCTCAGGGCTGGTGATAAAAGAGCTGCCCCTCCTTATGTCACAGAGAAGGGCACAAACATCTTGTGTTGCCTGAGCAAAATCACTGTGTCTGGGCACAGTGGCTGGGCCAGGGAGGGTTAAATTCCTGCGGGAGGGTCGGCTGCCCACGGAAATGGCGAGCTCCTCCATTCGGAGATCAATTCCAAAACGAAGCCAAAGTTTATTTGGGTTGGACAGCGTATTCACAAACGAATCTGTGCGGTGGTATCATGCACGACAGCATCTGAGATATTTCAGGCTGGCAATAACAAAACGCTGTCCAGGTTGTTTGGGGGTCGGCTGCTTGCCTTTCCCTGCGGTTCTCGAGGAGGTAAAGACAGAGCAAGATCACCCAAGCTCCTCGAAAACCTCATTGTGAGGAAGGGGCTGGTGCTGAGAAATGCTGAAGCTAACTTGAGATTATTTTGTTAGCATCTGAATATTGGGTTGGTGACCTGTACACCATGGGATTGCTTTTCCTCACGGTTCCCTGCTCTAGCTCTGTGCAACGGGGGAATTGCTTCTGATGTATGGGAGGTGAGGAGCATCTCCCAGGGTTGCTGCAGCTGGACATGGGTGTGTGGGAGATACCCACTGCAGTTTCACCTGTTTTTATTCAGGTGGCTACTAAAAGGAGGTGCCAATTCCTGGCACGGGGCTCCAGGGAGGCAGCAGCTGTCCCTGGCTCTGCACTCGGTCCCTCCTGCATTGCCCTGAGAAACTAAGAGCTGTTTCCTCCTCAATCTCTTGCTCTGGGTGCATGTGTTGTGTTGTCTCTGTTCTTGGTCTTTTATACTCCGCCTTCTGGGAACTTCCAGATGCATCTCCTCTCCAAGGTCTTGGCTTCCTGCAGCATGAGCCCAGTTTGGGAAAGCACTCACTGTCTAAATAGGTGCTTGGGCTGCCTGGGGGACAGTGGTGACACCTGGGCAGGGTCTTGATGACCAACTGCAGCTGTGCCCGCATGGGGCAGCTGGTGCTCAAAGCAGAGACCTGGGCTTTTGCATCTGGGGAGGATTCAGGTTAGGAACAAATCCTCATGGGGAGGCTGGAGTTTGCAATGAAAATACATTTCATGTTAGTGGCTCTTAGAAGGGCTGGCTGAGCCCTAAAACCCCAGCCCAAGCACCTCGGTGTAAGGGTGTTTTGCTCCAAAGATTTGCTCTAACTCTGCGCTTTGTGTGTCTCTCTTGGCAAATCTTTGGCAAAGTGTGAAGGCAATTCATGTGGCACGTTCTTCTTCCCATACAAAGCAGGGACAACCTGCTGGTGTCCTGAAATCCCTTGCTGGTCTTCGTGTAACCCAAAGGATGTGTCCCCATCTGGCCAACCCATCGCTTCCCTGGACCTGTTGGTCCCAACCTGCTAGTTTCTTTTAGGTGTTCAGACCTGGAAAATGTTGTACCAGTGCGTGCTGGTTTTTCAGGAAACGTTATTGCTGTTGGGGCTGCTGTCAGAGCAAGCTGAGCCCCCAAATGGTCGGAAAGCTCCTGTGGGCTGCTGGAGCCATTTGAGGAGGTGTCTGGAGAGATGCTTGAGAGCGATGTTGTGGTGTCAGGTTCACAGCCCTGGCTCAGAGGGTTGTTTGTGATTGTAGTTTTGCTTCTCCTGTTTCCTTTACTTTCCTCATCTGTAAAACAGAGATCATTGCACTCACTCATCTCCCGGTGCCTCAAGTTTCAGGGTTTTTCACATTTGTCAGATGCTTTTAGAGCTATAGGCAGGAGTCCCAGCCAGCAGGATTTGTAACAGGGCTGGGAACCGTGCAGTAAATATCGGATGAAGGTAGGAGCCCTCTGAGATATGGACTAGGTCTGTTTAATTATTCAGGCAGCATCTGTAGCCACGGGGTTCAAGTTCTGCACAGGAGCCTTCTGAAGGGACTGCAGTGGCAATAGCTGTTGTTATTCTTTTAAACGCAGGCAAAAAAGACCTGTTTACATCTTCAACATAACTTACGCCAGCAGTTCGTGAGTTTGATTGTGTTTGGTTACTGGTTCAAACTTCACTGAACCAGACAAACCCCTCATGCCCCCCGAGCTGGGCTGTGCACCCCACCAGTCCTGTACCTGCCTCCCCCTGTCTGCACAGGGCCTGTGGACACTTTTGTTCTGCTTTTGCTGGGACAGCTTTGAGACCAGCCTCACTAGCAGCCGTGGGCTCCCTTATGCTGCAAGCTGAGGGATTCCTGCAGGACAGCTTGCCTACAAATCACATTTTCAAAATGTAAGTGCTGCTCCCCCCGTGCAGGGAAGAGCTTGTAGAAATGCAGCCAGAAATTGATAAAAGAAACAAATCTCATAAATGTGTCTGCATTCTTGGTCTGGGTCAGGTCTAGAAACATGCAAGCCTGGATAAGACGGGATTCTCATTTGCCTGACTTGGTTTACTCATTTCTGCACGCGACCTCCACTAATGCTCGTAGCAGTCAGGACGCCGTGTGTGCCTTGTCTCTGCTTCAGATGTTATCGTGGTCGCACAGAAATTCGTGTTAGCTTCAGAGAAACTGCCTGACTTTGGGGCAGCCCAGAGGAGACTGAGCATTTGCTGATGTGGATTAAACCGAGGTCTCGGGAGGGCTTCACATGACTCGTCTTCCTCCGCTAGGGTCACAGCGGGCGGTCGGGGGCAGGCTCTTCCCATGTCATACCTCGTGTGACAGCACCCAGGTGACAAGTGCTGAGCCCAGGACCACCACCGTGAGCATCACACCAACAGCCGGAAGCAGCTCCCAAGGCAGAACACTGCTGAGGTGGTGACTCCAGCAGGACACGGTGCTCCCCAGGTCACCTCTTTAAATCCCATACTTAAATCCCTGTTCCAGCTCTTAATGGTCTTGGCACATGTAAATGCGATGTCCAAATTCCCAACTGCTTTTCTCATTCTTCCTGTTATTTGTCCCCAACAGTGAAAGAGCCACCCAAACTTAGCCAACGCATTTGGAGACCTCACGTAGCTTTTTGGTATTTTTGTTTCCTTCCTTTCTTTTTTTTTTTTTTTTTTTTTTTCTTCTCCTCCTCCCCCAAACAAGAAACTTCCGTTGTCCTTTCCGAGGCAGTATGGCTTTGTTCTTGGCTAGTCTGTATGAAAGTGAGACTCTGGAGGCTGCAATAACCAGCTTGTTTTCCCTCATCCAGGATCCCTTACAGGGACACCAGGTTTACAGATGCTCTGCTTGGGGAGGGCATTCATCTCTTGCTGAGCTCTGCCAGCCCAGGATTTCTGTGCTGCTGACAGCTTTTCCGTTGCATGGAGGTGAATTGCACAGACAGTCCAAGAGGTGGTGCTGGAAGGGGACCGAGAGGTGCCATGCCAGGCTGTTAGCTACCTCATCTGTGCTGGTTTTGGCCCAAACAGTGCCACTGCCCAGGGCAGGGAAGCAAATGAGGCATTCTGTGCTGGTGTACTGGATTTTGTGTAGGGAAAGGGCTCAAGCTCTGACTCCCTGGGATTTGTAGGTAAAAGCTGCACAAACCCCATCCCTGGATCTTTGTGCAAGCTGGTCCTGCAGGGATGGGGCCAGAGCTCCTCTAGCTCTCCTCTTGGGACTGCTGCTGAATCTCTAATGAACTGTCGCTCCTCTGTCTCCTGAATTTCACCTTGCTGTTACTGGGATCTCATCAAGCTCCCAGAAACAGCATAGATTTAGGACTCCTGTGATGTCTGAAGCTTGCTGTAGGATGCTGGAAGCTGCCCTGAATCCATTTGGGGTGTGGTGGGGTGAACTCTTCCAGGATGATGTGGTGATGTGCTGGTCCCTGCAGTGCTGGTGTTCCCCTTGAGGCTCAGGTCACTGCGTTCCTGGGAGGCTGCAGCGTGTGCTGGGGGCTTGACCAAACAACACGGCTGGGTGAAAACCTTCCTGCTAGCGGGGAGGCAGAGCAGTGGCCATGCTGCTTGGTGGTTTGCACCTAACGCTTGTGCTGTTTACAAATTTCTAAAGTACTTATGATAATACCAAAGGACCGCCTTACAAATGCAAACAAGAACTTAAATACATTGTTTTGCAATAGATTTAAGCTTGACAAGTCTGCTTTGCCCAGTCCATTTACCCCTCAGTGTGTTCACAAGTGCAGCCTACGGGGACAGGATCAGTGATTAGATTAGCCCAGGTCCTGTGATTTTCATCAGTGTACCAGCAGTGCCTTACTGCAGCACAGGTTTTTGAGGCTTTGCCCCTTAACTGATTACAGTTACATGCACCTGTTGTTACTCACTTGTTCTGCCTTTTGTTTTTTTCCAAGCTCTTTGGTCCTCTGCCACCATTAGAAACCGTCACGTAACCGCCTGCGTCCCAGACCTGAGATCTGTGAAAAAGACAAAGTGCCCAGGACATACCAAGGATGGAGATAAGGTTGCATATATTTCATACCAGTAGAGGAAATTGTGATCAGCTGTAAGTGGGTTTTATATCTCACATCAGTAATTAATACGGCTGCTTGTTCGTTTGTCTCAGTCAAGCATGTCCCTGGATGGGTGCTGATGTCTGCAGGGGGAGAGACGGATCCTGTCCGTGCCTGCCTGTGCTAAGTTGTAGGCTGATCTGAGCCTCGACCACTTCTGGGAGAGGTTTTAGCAGTGCTAAAACTGTTTTGGCAGTGTTATAGCTACTTTGGCAGTGCTTATAACTGGGTGCTGCTACAGGAAAT